AAGTTTAAACAACGGGAATTGAATATTGAAAAAGCACTGCAACAATCCATTTGAAAAATGTGGAATCTAGAGACTACGAGTAGACTTGTGCGGTGGCGTGATATTGAATAAAATATGTATATTGTTTACGGTGATGATTGTAGAATGTGTAATCCCTGTAGGCTGCGCACACTGCAGATGGTGCAATCCTCGCTTCTACAATGCACATATACATGTGTTCACTGGTTCTATATACATACTAAGTGTGCATGTAAGGAATAAAGCTGAGTAAATAAGTAAGTAAGTCAGTAACCCAAATGGTTGATTTGGTTCTTTTTCACACTAACTGCATTTGTTAACGCGTAAAATTATAAGGACGACCCTAAAATTTAAAATAAGTGGAATTTTTGTCGACCGTACGGGACACCATTTATCGTTGAAATAAAAATTCACGTGTATACGTCTCCACGCCCGACATTTTCACATTTACTGTCGCCTGTACGAATTAAATTGCGTTTTAATACAAATATATAATAGCTTAGTACAAATGCATATTGTGTTAACAGAAGGAACTTTAAACGCACAGCACGATTTTCGAACCTTATTGCGGCACACAATAAACACTATGGATATAACTAACTAAGTTAATGTACGTAACAATTGATAAAGTTACTTTCTAATACAATATCCATTACTTTGTGTAGTATATAAAATGCTCATAGTTTCATTATTATTATTATTGCTATAGTAAATTTATATAATAATTCCAATTGTTGGCGAGACGCTTTCCTAGTGCGTTTTAAATGGAGGGAGAAACGGGAAAAAGTTGAAAATCCAATGGCAAATGAAGAACAAAAACAAAACGTCAAAACGAATACAAATTTAAAAGAATAAAAAACTATAAACTACAAAAAGTATGTGCTGCTCGCGCACAGCAATACTAATAATACTTATAACTATCAACTGTATAATAATAATAATAATAATAATAATAATAATAATAATAATAACCTGAGTCCCTGACCCCGGCCGACTGTGCCATTGCCGGGAAATACCGCCTCTCCCATTTAAAAATTCAAAATTAATCTTTTAGGCCTTGGGAGAGGCGAGAGTTTAAAATAAATACGATAATAATAATAATAATAATAATAATCGATCAATTATCACGGACAGGACTATTCTTGCGAATAAGCCTGATATTGTGATATTGGATCGATCGCAGTCGAGGGTATTTCTTGTGGACGTCACCATACCGTATGACGAGGGTCTCGTGAAAGCTGAAACCGAGAAACGCCGGAAGTATCTCGACCTGGCGCACGAGATCACCGACATGTGGGATGTGGCCTCCACTGAAATAATCCTAATTGTTTTGTCCGCAAATGGGTTAATTCCAGTCAGCCTTTCTAACAGCTTGAGGCGGTTGGATTTCTGTGGCGTGTCGCTTCCAGCACAAATGCAGAAGGCGGTCCTGCTCGATGACAACCACAAATTACACCCAAACTCATTTTTAGATTAGAAAACGAAGATTTTTGAATTAATTCTGGTGCAAATTTTCTAGGAAGTGACCCCGGTCTTTGCTCTATTAGACATAGTACGCGTTCGCGTAGCCCATTGAGACTAGATAATTGTTGTGATTACTTTTGACTGCCTAAATAAATTATTTAAACACACGGTTGAGTGTTTGGTTAGCAGAAAGAGTAGGTCAACGCACTGGCAAATTACACCCCGAAATGTTAAACACTAGTTATTTCTACTTTTAATCATCATCATGCTCTTGTCGGTGTAGCCAACTCTTTGACATCTTTGTAACTGCTCACTTTGATCTTCTTCTTTATCTATACTACGTTCTTGATATTCCTCCTTCCTTCCTTTTATCTTCCCTTCATTTATCATTCTCATAAATTTATCATTACGTAACCGATGTCAAAACATTTTCCCTCTTCTGTTCTCAATTGTATTGAAAAGATTTCTTTCTTTCCTAACTCTTTGCAAAACTTCCTCATTTGTTATCTTCTCAATCCATTTTAATACTTATCAAAAATACGTAATAATAATATTGAAGCTTAAAATTTGATATGACGTTATGTGAATTGAGCATATAAGGAAAAAAATCAGAAAACAACTAACTCTAGGTTTAAAGTAGGTGAAATTGATAACTAACTGTTACAACAGTATGATTATATGATACCTCCTGCAGTTTGCAGTCTTTTTGTAACCTATTTCTATACAGATGATCGGAAAAGATAAAATGATGTGTATAATACGGTTTAATACCCTTCAGCCCGCCCTTTCTTTGTCTGTCTAGCGCAGCAGCCAAGGCCAACAAAGCCGTCACCTGCTATATTCTCCTTAGTGAAAAAAAAGAAGTGTCCAATTCCAATGAAGTGTCCTAAGGAACATGCTCAATTGACCGCCGTCAGGCTCGCTGCTTAGCTTACAGATGCGAGTTGAGAAACTTCAACTCAAATTTTTGCCCGATGGCGTATTGGACACCATCCATCTACGGCCCACTGCTACTTTCTTTGAGGAAAAGAAGAGAATAATTGCTAAGGAATATTATAATAAAACATTAAAATGTTTTCTTTGGTTTAGCAACGATTTTACGTTGTAATGAGATGGAAATTGTTCCTCGTCTTCGGAGGTAATTTAACTTTAAAAAATGTTAAATTTGTCTGTCACTCACTTAAAACATGCATGAGAAAAAAAGTACAAATTCAGAATAATAATGCACTAGGTCCTTTGATTTCAGCTATAATATATTTGAAATTTAAATTTTCCACCCAACAAAAATACATTTACTTATATAAGTTAAAACATACAGGTAAGGTACAATAAAAGCTTAAATACTAGAAATTAAAACTAGGTTTAAATTATATGAATAAAATTGGGCCCCCGCGGCAAGGTGCCCCAGACGCTGGCAGCGTTCCGCCTTTCTATGGCTGGGCACCGGTATCCCACGGGCGAAAGGTTTCGACCCCAACAACCCAATTTCAATTAAAATTCCTTGAAACTTGTCTACACAAATACATAGCAAAAGTGACGGTGTGTAAATCTAGTATAGTATCATACTATACCAATAGACACGTCTATTGGTACATAATTTATATCAATTTCGCCATTTTTTTAGAACACTTCTTTAAGCGTTAAATACATAGTAATAAAGAAATAAAACCACAGCGGATTAATTTATTTTTTCTTTTAAAAAGGAAATTATTCGGGTTGAGAAAATTTGATAAGTTGAAACATGTTTAAACAGTAAAATTAGTACAAATAAGTAGAGACAGCTCGAGCCAACGCGATTTTGTTAATCAAGTTAGAATTTCGTATAACGTAATAGTGACGTACACGATATTTGTGTTGACTTTTCACCCAACTCGTTTGTTACGTTTTATTTTTGACAAATAATATGATAAACTAGAAAAACTTTTCATCTAGTCCCAACTGGAGAACTCGTTCGTCGTCACGTATTGGAACAAATAAATAAAAAGAATTGGCGCTTAACAAAAACGTTGTGAAAACGTACTCTGCATGCAAACAGCTCAGTTATTGCCATAGCTACAACTGTATGAAATAACCTCTAGTATAGTTTTCAGAAAATAAGCAAATTTCACAAAAATATATATTTTGAAAATTATGCAAATAAAGTTCAGAATTATGTTGTTCTTTATATTTCAACTTCGAAATCGTTTTCGTATCACGACACGTAACCTATTTCAATCAATGCGTAGCGAGTAATGAATTACAGCTAAGGTTGTTAGTTAATAGTTTAGTATCGTATTTTATCTGAATTTCCTTTATCGCTATCACAAATAAAACTAGCATTATGAGGCAAGTGAACTAGCTAGTGACAGACGACATTTTCACTTAATACCTAAATAGACGATATAGTACCTAGGTATCCGGCAAACCGTCGTGTTTTACGGCGGCCGGCGAGGAGGAATCTCCAATGCGAATTGCATTGAACTCATTCCGTTGCATTGCGCCTCTGATATATACCGGAGGGAGACCGAAGGATAAAATTGTATTTATTCAGCGATGGAATTACAGTCTCGTGAACTATTTTCACGTTTTGGAACAACGAAAGTGTTAAACAAAACATGGCGAGGAAGATCGAAGTCGGCATTCTCCGACTTTACAATTTCAAACAAAACGTTTAGATTTAAATTACACACGGTCTTGTACGTTCTGTAAATATTTTATCTCTTATACAATGAACTTTAATTAATGTTTGACCTATTTTAATTTTCCTTTAAATTTCCTATTAATCTTCACAAGACTTTCATTAATTCACGAGACTTATTAATCTAAAAAGAAAAAGCTTAACCCTTTAACAGTGTCATATAAGATGTACAAATATACTATAATGCAATTTATTTATTATGATAGGGAAACTGTTAAGAAGTCACGAAGTAATATTTGGCGTCGGATAGCAATTTTGAATAAGGTTCCATTTAAATGGATCGCAAAAACGTGAAGAGATCTATCTAAATACTTAAATAAATGTACTATTGCCGTGCTAATATTCGACGTGGGTGTACATGACATTGTATCCCCTAAGAACTTTCTAAAGAGAAATGTAATAAAATCTCACAAATGGCTCTACAGACCCGGACTTTTTCTATCGTTTTAGCAGTTTTATTACACTTAAATCCTCCGATTTAGTTATGTTAACAGACCGTGTGTACTTTTTTGCAGGAAGTTTTAATTTTCGACTGTTTACATTCCATATGTGTTGATGTTGATAAACATAAAAAATGTTGAAGATTGGTTTATGATAGACAGCACTTAAAACGGTACAAGGGATTTTAATATACCTACAACTACACCTAGTTATGTAACATGAATACGTAAAGTAACGCGGGCTTTGCTAAAAAGGTATTCACTGACCTAGATTGCGGTCACGACAAACTGGATTTACATAAGTTCCGGAAAATTGGTTTGTTTCAAAATGATGCTTTAAAAATAGAAGCTTTTCGAGGTTGTGCAGCTCTTGGAAGTCAACATCGAACCAAACTGGGTCCTGGCAAATGACATACAACATGTTGTGTGCACTAAAACCCGCGGCTTGTCTGCACGAGTGGTGAATCTGTGCACTACACTTCGCTATATAAGGCCGTGTAAGCAAACAACAACGAATTTACCGAGTGAATGGTAAGAGCAGAATGTTTTCGTGGTGCTGGATATTTGAAATTGTTTTTCTTGTGCTACGAGTAAGGTACGCGCTAGCGTTTGATGTACATCGTGTATCTTGTGAAGAATTTGAACAAGGAGCCCGTTTTGATCCCTACGTAGCTATCGATTCTATGTGGAAGGTTTTCTACTTCTGGTCAAACAATTCAGAAGTATATCCCATAATTTTCTCTCTCCCCGCAAAACAGGTGAGTGCTGCACTTCGCAATAGCTGGTATCCAGTTTGAAGTTGTCAACTTCGCAACCGTGCCTCCCTGGTGAGATAGTCGTATCCTAATCACGTGCTGCGATAGTTTTGAACAGTTATCTAGATTAATTTAGTTGTACAGTGGGTTAGTTTCATTTAAAATTTACCTTCAAAATTGAGCGAGTCATTACTACTTAAAATTATATATAATATAAAATTATTTATAATATATATATAATGTATTTGAGTAGAATATACCATACGTACCTATACTTTTGACAAGGTATACTTTTACATTTTTACAGAGGATTGAAAGATTCAAGGTAGTAATAGAAGCACTGGATCCAGAATTGGCAGCCACTATTGAGTGGCACCGAGCTACTCTTATCATGGAGCCTCGGCCCGGGGTCATGGCCATTTTTATGTATCAAGGAAGTCCTGGTGCTTTCAGAGTACTTATCAAAACCGAACAAAGGAAAACAGGTAAGTTTCTCCGTCATATTTCCTAATTATAAATTTGTTATACTTGCTTGAGTATTTCGGTTCGTTTTTGTACGACATAAAAGCATTTGTAAAATCTTGTCACCTTCTTAGAGCACGTGCATAATTACCATGTATACACGGTAAAAACAGATTACTTAGAAAAAGACAAAATTCTTTATATGAAGACAAATTTATTAAATCCAACAAAACGATCCTCTCCCTATAGACGCTAGAGAATAATTACGTGATAATAGTAAAAAAACATCTCAAAAGTGTATTTTTGTTATAAGACAGAAATATTTAATCCAAGAGCAAATTAATTTACTTCAAGTCACAAAGCCACTCTAGATTCAACAAAATATTTTTTTGTATTAGAAATGTCCGATTTTGATTTGAAAAAATTAAGAATGAAAAATGAAGAGATACTTAATTATTTGACTGAAGATATATGTTTTCTAATATCAAAAAGGGTAAATTTATAGGGTTATGGACCAACGGTATGTCTCACTGGCGTGAAAGCACACCAGTTCAGTGCCAAACCATACTTGAGGATCATTCAGTGCCGTATAAATGCTACAGCGGCAGAAAGCACTAACAATTTAAAATATATATATGAGATGACTTTATACTATTGATGTTAACAAAACGATAGCGCGTTTCAGAGTACAACTAATGCCATCTAGCAGTGGCGTGATAGAACTAATTGCACGTTAAAGTTGTGCTTGTTACAAATGTAGTTTGATTTCATGCTGTAACCAAATTTCTTAAAATATGACTATAAATAAAACCATGACAAACTAGAGATACTACGTATTGTTTCTTTGGATAAATGACTGTTTATGATTACAAGCACAAGTAAAAGTAAACGTTACCGTGTGCGGCTTCGGCGACATGTCACGACATCATTGACTATAAAAACGCAACGAAATGTTGCTTTAAGAATATATTCTAGAATTTAGAATATTAATCTGAATAGAAAACTACTTCCTTTTTTGTTTAAGAATATATTTTCTTAAAATACACCCAAGAAATTTTGAATTCATTTAAGATTATTGAAATTTGATGTAAGAGGTAAAAATTTCTTGATGTAAGTAATGTCCAATTAATTGATTAGAAATGAAATAAAATCTTGAAGTGAACGTATTTGTCTCAAAGTTAGAATAAAGTTAAGAGTAAAATTATATTAGAAAAAGATAAGCAGTATCTTTGTAATGACAATATTTTATTACTTTTAACAAATATTTTTTCAGAATTACCAAATATTTTGAGAAATTGCTCTTTCTTATTAGTAGAAATCCTTTTTTTCTGTGTAAGATTACATATAATAGCAGTCGCGCTCTCAAAGGATGGTACAAGTAATATTAAGTAAAGTTGCTAGTGATGAACTATTAACTCTTTCTATTTTAATCTATTTTGTGGCAAAGTCAATTAATTCTAAGAAGTATGATTAATTTATTATTTATCTAATTAACTAATAATATGTCAATACCTCAAAGAAAAAGGGCGGAAAGCAAATTTTATCAAGATAGTTTGTTAATGTAGCTTGGCAAAATTTTCATACTCTTTTGATCTTCCTAATCCATGTTTTCCTACTTGGAAAACACATAATATATTTTTACCGATATAGTTATTTATATATGTTTACCGTTATATTTAAATTGCTATCGAGTTCTTAGGTTTTCGCGATTGTTACACATAGGAAATTAATCTATTTTTTCGGATCGAAATCGCTGTTACTTGGATCTTAATCGTTCGGACCCTTTACAGATACGGCCTACTGGCGTGACCAAAACGTTGGTTTGTTTGAAAAAACAAATATAGGCGATGTAGATCCGAAAAGATACGTTCATTGCCTACTCTTTAGTTTACACTATATTTCTTACTGAATACAATGTACATACATTAATGTAAAGGAAGTAAGCTTTTTTTGTTTATGCCCCGTACTAGGGAATCCCTGTGTCGCGGATGCCATGGACACACACATAGACAACCACAAATTATATTCAAACTCATGTGAGAAATAAATGTAGGTCATACAAATATTTCTTCCGGAATCGAACCTGAGACATTTGCGTAACCGTTCGGCCACGGAGGCAGTTGATTAATTATTTATATTTAACACAAACAAATTGTCTCAGTTACTGAAGCATGCCAATTACGACCTAATGTTAGGTACGAATGTTCTCTAGCCAGTGCAAGGAGTTTGAAATAAATTCTGTCTTTTAATATGAATCTAAGAATATGACCGGAGTCACTGTGGAGTAAAAAAATATTCACTACTCTTTGGACAACCTCGAAAAGCACAAAATATGTTTAACTATAGTCCATCTGTTTAGGTACTTAAATAAATGTAAACAATCTTGAGATGTCTATTTTATGAAATGTATGAAATTACATTTATAAAATGATTTTCCCTTACCTTCAAATACAAAATACAAATACTTAGCTTCATATGAAATTGCATGTCTATTTTTATACCTATTGATTTGTAAAGCATGTGTTTCAATAAAAAGATGTATCAAGATTGTTTACATTTAGTTAAATACCTAAACAAATGGACTATAGATGGTGCCCGCGATTTCGTCGTAGTCTACTCTATTCATCGAGTATATAACCACTCTATTACTTACTTAACTAATGATTGGTTCTTAGTACAAACTTTCATCCCCTATTTCACCCCCTTTAAGATTTATTATTGTGTCAAAAAGTAGCCTTTAGCTACTAGCTTACTTACTGTGCTACTAGCAAAGTAGCACAGTTACTTTCGTAATATTAGTTTGGATTGTCAGAATAAGAATCAACACTCCACTTCGTCTGTGAACAATTTTCTGGGAAACTCTCATGGGAAATTCTCAAGTCTGCAGAGGACAAATCCACGCTTTTATCACGCGTTGAAAGATCCTTTGATCGTTATAATATTATTTGTTTCGTATGATCTCTCGGGCAAGTGCTTTTCATCAGCACACCTTAACAGTCATCAAGGAGTAGCGGCGCAATAAAGGTGCGACAATATTACTCCCCCGGACACTTACCCTCTCGCGCGCCATTTCCGCCCCTAACTTTGCGCGCCCGACTTGACTCATAATGACAATAAACGGGTCGTGTTGCAAATATTTTCCTTTCTTTCCTAATGACGACAACAGTTCTCGTTAGTCACCACCGTTCAAATTGAATAGGTACCTTAATTTAAATTCAATTTTCCCGAAATCTTGTTAGCATAAAATAATGTTCATTTGAAAATCAATCGAAATCTTAAGATATGCATGTATTACCATCATCAATCCATTTATACGTCCCACTGCTGTGCACGGGTCTCCTCTAAGGCGACGGGTTAGGCCATTATCCGCCACGCTGGCGCAATGCGGGTTGGGTACTTCACACGTTTTCCGAGGGTTGTGAATATGTATGTATGTAAACACTTTAGTGTACCACAAAAACAAATGATATCTGTAAACTACAATTTCAATTGATAGTGTACAAAGACGAGCTTATCCCATAAAGGATTTCTTCCACCTAACCTTTATATAACTAAGAGGAAAGTTGGTTCCTGGGTTGGCAATAAAAAATAAATTAATAAAAAAATTAAATGAAAAATTAATGACATATACTCAATAATTATTACATATATTAATAGTATATTTTTTATCGTGGGACTAAATCGAGCCAATGTATAACAGAGGTGGTTAGACACTTGAGCTTTAGCAAGGGTGTCGTTTAGTCTTGAAGTGCGAACTTCACTTTTCACTTCAATTACGAGAAAAAATAATCAAATAAGTAATTACACAATAATTTATTTATTTCAATCGTTTGCGCTCACGGTTTTTTTTCCAACTAGACACAGTTACAACAAATGCAACAAAACATCACGATTAGTGGTCTTTGGCAATCATGAGCGTCTTTCGCACGATTTAATTGCTATGTCACGTCACTAAAATTCCAGGGAAAATAATATAGCGCTACCGTCTATGCGGAAAAAACACGAAACTAAAACCGACCGTAGTCTCAGAACGTAATATTTTCGCCAGTACTAGTTTTCCAGTACAGTCCAGTAATGTTTGAGTTTGACTGTCACTCGAAGTTAATTAAAAAAGTAGGTAGTTTTTACTCCCTAGGGATTAAATGATGCACTTTACTCCCGCTACGTAAGGCTATACTGAATCACTTTTAGAGCATGAGAAATGAAATAATAATTCATTGAAATAATAGTCCGAACAATCCCTAGACTTCAAAAAGGCACCTCCGAAAACCCGAACAGAAGGTGACTGTCTGACCTGGACCGGGAGAAGGTTCCGCATACAAGCAGCGTTCACTGTGTCCGAATATTTTATATATTAAGTAACCTATGTAATGGACAGGAATTAATTAAACTTTTATATAAAATTACCTTTCCTACACTTAAGTAGGTACTTCGAAACGAATTCTTTTCAAGTGTAATAAAAACTGTCTTTAATAAATCACTTACTTACTATATCATTTCAGTAAGACCTCATCCGGTGCCGTTGCTAAGTTTTGCTGACGTGAGGATTAAGATGGTAGACAGGTTGATTGGCATGATGGTCTGTGAAGACTTATCGGCGTACGCGCTGGCGAGAGTGGACGAGATGCCGCAGACCGAAGAAGAGTGTGAGGAGGCTGCTGCACTCCTCGGCCTCCCTTTAGAGTACGGACGCTCGCACCTCTTCCTGGCTAATTATACCAAGCATAATATGGACAAAGAACTTTAGGAATAATCTCAAGCCATAGATTGAAGAATGCGCTGTGATATTATTATTAATAAACAATAAAAACTTCTTTTATTAATATTGAAATCGACACGATAAGGAGAAGAATATTAAAATGTCGAAGACAGATTCATTCGTACGTAAGCCTAGTAATATTTTATGGACCGAGTATGTGGTAGTAAATCGACGCGTTATGTGGTCACGTATAGGCACAGGTTCCATTTCCTCCCCGAAGACCTCCCGTGGTAGCCGCCTGATGTTTATTATACTTTAGTGAATAATGCGCGAGGCGGGACTTTGCACCTCCCTGAATACAAATAAATCAGCGAATCACCTCGCGATGACTTCTTTATATAAATGCCCCATTTATATTCTGAAGCCTTGAATGTAGAGATAAATCTCTTTCATTCCTAAATATTCACCTTTTAAGAGCCAGCTGCGTATTCTCCCTCAAACCTACCTGGTAACTTACAAACGTGCGGACGCATTGTTTGTTTACATGAATATACGTATATGTTTAGGTACTTTCAGATTGTCCTGATTCAAACCACTGATTCGTAGCTTGAACAAACAAAACTTCCACCAACCAAAAAAATATAGTTCAGTAACTGGAGTTACGGTAACAAAAGGATCAGCCATTTGTTTATCCAATACGGTTTCCCAAAACTTTGTAATAAAGTGGTTGTTATAATTTCGAAATCCGTTAATAGAAAATAAACTTTTCACGTTCGTTGCAACAACTTTTTCTTAGAAACCTTCAAAATAATCTTTATCAAATATAATAAGCGTGGCGTTCCGGCGTGGAAATCAAGTAAAGCAAGGACTAACACGGAAATTCTCGCCAGCGAAACTGCAGGCAGTCTAACACTTTCAAAAGTAAATTATTCGGAAAATTCATTATAATTAGGAGAAAATGTGCCAGGCAACTAAATTCATATAATTCAACAGCCTTACGACTCACGAATTACAGGTTGTACAGAAGTTAACACTAACTATATACGTGTAAATTTACAGTTCAAAGCCCGCCCAAAATATTATGCCCTCAATAATTCTTTAAATTACTATAATATAGATAGCATATGAATGTATAATAAATTCATCAAAAATTTTTATGTGGTAATAGTCATTTCAGACAATAATAATAACAACATAATTAAATGTAAAAAAATATATAGTATGTGATAATATTAGTTGAATAACATCGAGCTGGGATGTAAGGGCGTAATATCAATGCCCTTTGACGGGAAGTGGAAGCAATTGAAGCATCGCGGCTGCGTCATTTAAATATGTGACTTTGTATGTATTAAATTTTGTTGATCATGAAATAGTTTAACTAGTTTTCAAATGAGTATTTTCGGTAAGACTTTTTGAATTTGTGATACCACTACAACAATACTTTTATGCACCTTCGTGGTAGTTTTACCATTTTGTAAACAAATTGGTCATAACAACACATATTGCTCTTCGAAAACGTGTGAACACAAATGAATATATTCGAAAATTAAATTAGCTGCATTACCCCGGAATATTACACCTTATCTTAATATGGAAGCCATATACCGTCCTATACCTGAAAAACCAAATTTCTATCTACGTATTTACTAAACTTGAGTTTAATGCAAATTGTGTCCAATTTCCAGATTATTTTGTCATCACTCTGTAAACCTTAGAACTATGTCATATGTGTGTCTCCGATGTGTGACCCTTTATATTCTACGTTTATCTTATTGGCTACTTTTCTCAATTGAAAATTCGTAAGTTTGGTTTTTTGATGAATTTAAACTCTTATTAATTTCATTTTCTTTATTATATGTAATTGCACAATCGTCCGCATATAACAGTATAAGGGTCATGGATTGCTTTAAGAAGAACGGGGCCGTTGGGGACTTCATTTACTATAACTTTAGAATCAAACTTAGAACATTCTGTTTCCATTGTTGTAAAGTTGCTTTTATTAATTTTGGTCGTCTTCGGATAATATGGAGGCCTACCTTTTAAATAAGATTGTATCGTTTTATGTGTCTTACTCCTTACGCTATGTGACTAAAATTTGTCAAGTAAAATGTCATGGTCTACGTAGTCAAAACCTTTTGTCATATGCGTATAGCAAATGCTTAAATGCCGATAATCCACTGTATATCCTTATATGTATGTAGGTACAAATGTATACGTGATTCCATAAGCTCTTTAATACCCTACTTACACAAAGGTTCTATACCAGTAATTTTAATTTTCGGGAAGTTAATCATTTTCGATGCATATGTTATTGATGTTACTTGGAATAAAAAATAATATGAACTACATATTTTAGTATCTTCGTGCGCGTGTTATATTCTGTATTATGTTTGTAAACTGCGTATCCATGTTATATATAACTTGAGAGAATGTAAGTTTCATCAAAAAACGACTACAATATAAAATGATTATTTTTACCTTGTCCACTCGAATATAATTCTTATTATGTTCTTTAAAGTAGTCACAATAATAAAGTACCGACATTGTTTTGCTAATTGTAATAACATTTCACATTTTCTATAAAAAAAATCATACACATGTCATTTTATTTACGTTGCTCTTATTAATTTTATATTTTCACAGCTTCTTACTTTTATAGCACAATCTTATTTTACGTGCGTCACTTTGGTTTTACTTCAGGTAGTTTTATAACAGAAAACACCGTTCATAAAGAATATGAATATATCGTTGAAAGCACAAAAACCGTAATTGTAGGTTTTTTTCCATCCTCTAAGTTGTAGGCACTCGCTGTACATAAATGGCTGAGGTTGCTCAGACATTTTCTAAAGTTCATCCGGTAATCGTAAGACTCTATGTCAGTTGATTTAGAAATTTTATTAATGCATGTTTAAATCCTGAATGATATTTTTCATTATAGAGGTATATTGTTTCAGACATAACGGTTTGGTTGTATACCTACGTATCATATTTAGGTCAATATGTCACGAAGATTACTATGGACTATTTCCAATAATTTCTATTCGTTGTTGGAAGCTCTGATATACACTATAACATTGTGAGGCGTTAGCTCGACTGCACAGCGTTCAATAATGTTTGTAATGCTAAATTTGGGAGTAGTATCTATTATCTTATTGTTAAAATCCCATTCCTATAATTTCGGGTCAAGCAAGAACCAATACTCTAATTGGAAATCTTTAGTAAGTTACATCTCCAACTTTAAATGATGTTCTGTAATGCACATGACATGTACAGTTTATTTAGCAGTACCTACTGTAAAATATTGATACTATTATTCATGAATTAAATTATCATTATTTGTGTCATCTGTCTAGCTACAGACCATCTTTTTTGAAGATGGAATAAAATGACATTTTTGACAGACAATTGCCCAAAGGTGTTACCCGCTTGCAAGCAGCTAGTGATTGCTGTCGGTATATATTAATATCGACTGTATTTAGAACTGTGTCTATTAAAAATACGAAGTCATATTAAGTTTTTCATTTTAATTTAATATAGAAAATCAAATCCTTCTGTTCTTATTAAAATGTATATGGATGTATAAATATTGATTTCGATACAATTAGGCCAATTGTCAAAATAAGAATAAAGAAGGCAATAACGCAATCAGTAATCGTTAGAACGTTCTCAATTCAGACATTTTTGGCAAAACTTTACTTTTAATTTACAATCTATCGATAAAACGGTCGACAACAACTACAGGACTATTTAAAATTTTATGAACGAATAAAGGTCTATCACGTAGGTATATCCGGGCCGTGCCCTGGACGTGGACTGGCCGTGCTCCGTCAGGGGCTCAAAAAAATATCGTTGCGTATATTTTGTATGAACGCGTTCACACATGTCCGTGTCCGGGCCGGCGCCGGGACGGGCCCGCAGTTGATACAAACTAGTACGCCCCGGCCACGTCGCGGGCACGGCCCTGATGTGTGTGGATAGTCCATAACCCCACAAATATCATATTACGTCTTGAAAAAAGACAGACTCTAAAGTATTTTCGATCTATGATATTTTCTTTCGTGACCATGCATGTCATAATTTATTGTACGAAACCATTATTCATAACCATATTATAATAAGCAATGTTTTTTGTGTGTTAGCACGTCCATGTACATACATCAAAATTATGATAAAGTTCAATTATTTTCTTAAAAAGCTTGTGCAGTCGCCACTCTCATACATCGGTAAAAAAAATTTAAGCGATAAAATTTATCATTAATGTCTGTTAATCATTATCCTCAATCTTTATGGAAACATAAGTTATCATTTTCTTCTATTACGTACTAGAGCACAATAGACATTATTTGTAAAGTTTTCCAGTTTTCCTAAGTAGTAACAATATTGTAATATTATAGAATAAAACCGATTATATTATGATGCTGAACAAACCACCACCGACAGAATTATACATTTCCTTTGTGTATTGAAGTCCGTTAAGGTATTATTTCATTGTCTCTAAATAAAAAGGAATTCGAAGACTAAAGAATGGAAATGAGAATTTAAAGAACTTAATTTCAAGTTTTAATTGGTAGAGACTTTGTTTTAATTCATATTTCTGATATCTGTTAGGAGCTGACTTGTAGGAGAGATGACTGGAAGAGGCTCTACCGACAAGAGTCACAACTCTTAAGTTGATGATGATGATATCTGTATGAGAACAGTCGTCATGTTATAACATAGTTATTTGCCAAATGTGACCATGGTTTTATATTTTATACATCTGTATAGAAAAACTAAAGATTAAAAGACAACAATGCTGTAAGTTATGACCCACTGAAACAACAACTTGTTTACTTTTTAAACATGCCGACAGGCACACAATAAGTATATAATATGAACGCTTCGTCTACCTTAATACACTCACGGGGCGCTCAAGGTTCCTATATCCAACAGAATATATTTATTTCCCTCCAAAGCGTACTAGACGTCAACAAATAAGGTTATTTTTCAATAGAGGTTTTATTCATTCTTTACGTATGCTATGAGAGCCGAGTCAAGAAGAGAATCTCGATTTCCTTTAGCGCCTTTATTTTGATCGATAGCTTGTTGATTCATTTATATCAAGATACTCTGACTTTCCCGAGGGGCAATAAATAAGGGCATAATGTGCCCATAAATAACACAGAGCGACTATGATTTATTTAAGACTGCCTTTTCAATTATGTAATACGTCTTGGACAAAATAGTATATCTAACCTCAGAACATTATATCTCCTGTAATCGGAGAATAAGTATTATATTATTATACATATAGGTACAATTTTTTCTTAACCTTCGTTTGTATTTTGTTGAAACTTTTGCCACTGGGATGATACTTGGACGATACCTGTGCGTTAATGCAAAAACAAAAACCAGTTGTTGAATTATCCAAAAGCATTACACTAAAACGATAGTGCACAGTCTTGAAGACAATTAAGATATAAATATAACCACGCTCTAATCATATCTACTGTCTTAGATCAAAATGAATATTTCTATAATTAGCCTTTACCCCTATTTGCATAACCATGTATATATACTTTGTAAATGAACCAGGTAGCTCCCTAAATAAAATAAAATTAAAACTATGCTTACTTACCTATAAACAGTACCAAGATACAAACAATACGCTTATTGAATCTCAGGGCTCAAGCCGAAGCCAGCAAACCGTCTCGTACCCAAATAAAAACAGCTTTTTTGCTAAATCCGTAGAGTCCGAGACGAAAATATGAGTAAGATAACAGCGTTACCCCAGCACGTCTTCCCATTTACAGTATTCCGG